CTTGGGTTGTGGGACTTGTTGGCAAGTTGGACTTCAGTTGCACCGATGGCTCAATTCGAACTCAGCTCTCCCCCCCCCATGACTCAGATTCGACTTGTGGTGTGGAACCCACTCACCCTTCCCTTTTTTTTTTCCTGAGGAAAAAAACTTATTTTTCATAGGGACTCAGAACAGGGACGTGGGACTCAGAACTTGGTACCAAAGACTTGGACGGGGTGCTTCATACCAAAGATTTGGACCCAAAGACTCCATGATAAAAATATTATTTACTTGTTGGCCAAGCTCTGATGAACAGCCCCTTGTGGAATTCTGTAAAGAAAACACCAATAATAAATCACCTTTTTAAAAAATAAAAAGCACAGTGATCAACCCTGTGCTACCCCACACCCCTGGGACTAGTTTTCATTTTTATTTTTTATTGTATCTCATATTGTCTACATTGGTTTGGGCATGTCGTGAGAATGTCTGACGGTCGGATTCCGAAAGATCTCCTGTATGGAGAATTAGTGCAGGGAAATCGCCCCAGAGGGAGACAACAGCTGCGATACAAGGACATCTGCAAGCGGGATCTGAAGGCCTTAGGAATGGACCTCCACAGATGGGAAACCCTGACCTCTGAGCGTTCAGCCTGGAGGCAGATGGTGCATCACGGCCTCTCCCAATTTGAAGAGACCCTTGTCCAGCAGGCCGAGGCAAAGAGAAAGTCCAGAACTCGGCAAAATCAGGGAGCTGGACAGGGGACAGATTGTATTTGTTATCAGTGTGGAAGGGATTGTCACTGTCAAATTGGCCTTCTCAGCCACACCAGACGTTCCAAGTCCTCGATACAGAGCACATTACCATAGTCTCTCAAGACTGAAGGATGCCTAAGACTCAAATTGGAAGGTCCGGTTGATTTTAAGCCAACATTTTATACAGCTTTAAGGAAGTTTCCCATATTTATTTTTCCTACCATGCTCCAAAAAAGTCAATCTGAAGAATCAAGCATTTTTAATGGAGCATATGGTGTGGGGAAAACTATGGGGTTTAGGAAGAAGATCTTCAGAAAGAGAACCAAGCTATGTGTGTTACTCAGCTAGTGATCATCTCCTACTCTTTCTTCTGTCGTTCATTTTCTTTCCCATGTCTGTGTTAACAACCTCTCGGGGGGATGGGGCCCAGATCAGTACAGTTTTGTTGAGTTTCACACTTTGAAGGGCAGGAAATGTGGGTAGAGAGCTCACTGTTGAAGCTGGTTGCTTATAGTCAGAATAAAGCTGCACACGAGAGACCCACAAGGAGGTGTGAATTTTGAAGCTGCTTCTGGGAAATTGTTTCTCAGAATGAAACTCTTGCTTGCACCAAGCAAGGCCCTGAGGGAGCAAACAGGGTGTTTGTTTCCAAAATGTCTCCAGATGTGCCTAGTTGTTGACTAGTGTAAATTGTAAATTGCATGGCACTTAAAAGTTATGTTTTAAAAAGAAATTCATTACAGTGGCAATTCCAAGACTCTCCTCCCAAAATCAGTTTGTTGCAATTATAGTTACAGTTTTGTAAAGTTAAATCTTCATTTTATCATTATTCAAAAGCAATTGACATATTTTTAAGTTACTACTTGCAAAAAAGTGTAAGAACACTACAGTTTGCTAGTCTGTGGCCCAAACAAAAAACTATGAAAGTAACTAAAACCACATAGAGTTACACCATAAATGGGAATGTTACACCTCTTCACATTTCAACAATAATGCAATGAAGTCTTGACTTAGTTGTTGCTGAGAGGAACTAATGGTAAGAAACTTCATTGTAAGTAACTAGTTATTTCCACAGTTCTGGCATTACTTGGAATTAAACATTTATCTCACTGGTGCTGCTCTTCGAATCTTATTGCTAACTGTCATATTTTTATATCATTTTGTGGGAATTTTTGTTATGAACAGAAAGATGTTAAACTAGGAATTACTAGTTCAGGGAAAGAATATATTTGGGTCTCATGACATGTTTTGGGTGTGCACAGTGTCTTTATTCGTTTCCTCTCAGCAGCAGAGGTTCTATGAAATGTCCTTTGATTTGCTATAGAACGGTGGTTCCCAAGCTTGGATTCCCCAGATGTTCTTGGACTAGACCTCACAAAAATCCTGGCCAGCACAACTAGTGATGAAGATCCTTCGATTTGCTATAGAACGGTGGTTCCCAATCTTGGGTTCCCCAGATGTTCTTGGACTAGACCTCCCAAAAATCCTGGCCAGCACAACTAGTGATGAAGGCTTCTGGAGATTTTAGTCCAAGAATATCTGGGGACCAAGGTTGGGAATCACTGTTCTGGAGCACAGCAAGGTTACCTTTCAGGCAATAGAAGTCCAGACCTTTCCTGGACAAGGAGGATTAACTGTGCCCTGTTCTGGGTCAAGACCTACATGCCTAAGATCTGAGCAAGACAAGCAGATCATCTCTAGATGAGAGCCCTTCTCCCTTTACCTCAATGTAAAACCATACAGTGAAGGTAATCACCAAGTTTCACCGGGCGTCCAAACATCTGGTGCTTTTGGCAAGCTAGACACCAATATCTTCCATCTCAACTTAGTACCAAAGCATAGAGTGTCCCAGGTTGAATCTCTGGCATCTCCAGGGCCTCGTGGAAATACTGTCACTGGAAACCCCAGATTGCTGGTTAACAGTACAATGGTGCCTCGCAAGATGATTGCCTCGTGGGACGATTAATCCGCAAGACGATTAGTTTTTGCGATCGCTGTTGCGCTTCGCAAGACGATGGTTTCCTATGGCCAATTTTCGCAAGATGACAATTTTTCCCATTGGAACACATTAAATAGATTTCAATGCATTCCAATGGGGAACCGCATTCCATAAGATGATGTTTTCTGTGGACGATTTTCGCAAGACAGTGATTTTTCCATTGGAATGCATTAAATAGATTTCAATGCATTCCAATGGGAAACTGCGTTTCACAAGATGATGTTTTCGCAAGACAGCGTTTTTCACGGAACGAATTAACATCGTCTTGCGAGGCACCACTGTATCTAGCCAAGATCTGAATCAGTATAAGGTCGCTTGACATGCTCCATGTGGTTGATTTGTTGACCAGTGTAAATTGCAGATGCAGAAGCTTCCAAGAAATAACTTTGCATATCCTTTTGTTTCCTCATTTAGATATTACGGATTCGGACCCTTCTGTCTACCAACTGAAGCCGAAAGATAAAGAAATGGAGACAGACCAAAGCGCTCAGAAAGAGATTGGCGTGTGCCTCTTCACGGATTATTTCCCTGACAAGCTCCAAGTGGGGATCAATAAAAATACACAGTCGACCAATAGCTCTTTGGTTGTGGTGAAAGAGAATGAATATGACGAGAAAGGAACGGCCAGCTATGGGATCGTGTTGTGGGGTACCTTGGACGATGAGTTTCATTGCAATGCAGTTATGAATGGAAAAACCTTTGAAACAAATCCAGAAGGTAAAAATACGACGACATTCTTTGCACTCAAGCCATAGCTTGCTTATCACCATGGCTAAGAATGGGCAGCCTCCTGAAATGTTGGAGAAAGGAATTTTCCCAGCTTACTTAAAGTCCCTGACTTTAGCGAAAATCCAGTCTCAACCTTTCTTGTAGGGCTGAAGATCACTCCCCACCCACTGACAGAGTATACAACAGTTTATCTTCACCTATAAGATAGATAGTTGTATAGCCGTGATTCCCAACCTTGCGTCCCCAGAGGTTCTTGGACTAAAACTCCCAGAAGCCTTCATCACTGGCCAGGATTTCTGGGAGTTGTAGTCCAAGAACATCTGGAGATCCTAGGTTGGTACCACTGGCATCTAGCAATAGAATGTCGTAGGATTGGTTCTTAGAAAGCAATATACCGTATTTTTTGCTCCATAAGACGCACCTTTCCATAAGACGCACCAATTTCTTAGGAGAAGAAAATATTCTTAGAAAGCAATATATTTTCTAAGAAGTGGTCTGAGAAAGCTGGGTCTCAGACTTATTGAGGCCTCTGTTGTTGCCGGTGTGGCAGCCCCATGTCTGATGGTGGCAGCTTGGGTGACCCAGTGGCTCCACATGGCAGTTGAGGAGGGTACTGAATCATGCTGGGAGGCTGACATGATTGGGTGAGGTGTATGTATGTGGATCAACTGTTTATGCTTTGTAGTTGTGCTTTGAGGGGGCATAAGAGTTATACATGGATTTTGAACTACACATGGGTCCAGTGGTCCAAACACCAGCATCGTTGAAGTGTATTTTATTTATTAATTACATGGTTGTTCTACCCTGCTCCCAATAAGCAGAATAGCTTAATTTCTTCCTACTTTATCCTTAGCACAGCCCTGTCAGGATGACAGATGTTGGTCGGAATCCTCTTAGTCGTCACGTAACATAAATAAATGCAACTTTGCTGAGCATTAAAGTGCAGGCAAAAAGGATTACATGATTCAAGATGCAATCCCATGATTCCTGTCATGATGGATTGCACAATGCACTTGCAGAAGTACTTCGTGAATAGTACTTGTACACGATTCAAGATGCAATCCCAGGATTCCTGTACTTGCAGAAGTACTTCGTGAATAGTACTTTTACACCTTAGCGCTCTTACAGCTCCTGCTCACATAGCATCTAGTTATGCGCACGCAACTACTCAATAGGATTTCAGTCAATGTTTAGCTCATTAGGTCAATTTCATGGCTTCTTTACTCAACCACAGATCTGGAGTACTACAGAAAGACAGAATCATAGAATCATGGAATAATTGAGTTGGAAGGGGCCTATAAGGCCATCGAGTACAACTCCTTGCTCAATGCAGGAATCCAAATCAAAGCAAATCTGACAGAGGGTGGTCTAACGTTCTCTTGAATGCCTCTAGCTGGGGAGCGCTTACCTCTCCTGAGGTCATTGGTTCTGTTTTCATACTGCTTGAACAGTTAGGATGGTTTTCCTGATATTTAGGCCTCTCCTGAGGTCATTGGTTCCGTTGTCATACTGCTTTAACAGTTAGGATGGTTTTCCTGATATTTAGCCAAAATCTGGCTTCCTGTAGCTTAAGCCCATTATTATGTGTCCTGTACTCTGGGATTATAGAGAACAGATCCTGCTGCTCCTCCTACCTTTCAATTATTTGAAAAGTGCAATCACGCATGTTAGGAAAAGGTAAGAAATAAGATTCTGGGGCAAAAATTAGTTGTGTTGCTAATGTAGTTGTTGTTGTTGAAAAAAGAATCCTCGTCTCTCAGTGGAAAATCTCATAACAAAGGACAGTTGTTTCAACAGGGTGTCTCAGTGGCTGAAATCCTGTTGCTTAGCCTACCTTTCAATTATTTGAAAAGTGCAATCACGCATGTTAGGAAAAGGTAAGAAATAAGATTCTGGGGCAAAAATTAGTTGTGTTGCTAATGTAGTTGTTGTTGTTGAAAAAAGAATCCTCGTCTCTCAGTGGAAAATCTCATAACAAAGGACAGTTGTTTCAACAGGGTGTCTCAGTGGCTGAAATCCTGTTGCTTAGCATGGTCATTTCCAGTTGTTTCAACGGGGTGTCTCAAAGGCTGAAATCCTGTTGCTTAGCATGGTCATTTTCACTCAAGTAGGCCTATTTCAATCCACAGAACATACAGAGAAGCTGATTTACTGTACTAAGAAGATTTCAGCCAGTGTGTTGAAATTCCCTTCATCACTGAGGAGGGGGAAATTTGAGAATATCTGTTACATCCTTACTCTAGAGCAGTGCTTCCCAACCTTGGGTCCCCAGTTGTTCTTGGACTAAAGCTTCTAGAAGCCTTCACCACTACCTGGGCTGGCCAGGATTTCTGAGAGTTGTAGTCCCATAACCACTGCTCCAGAGGAATTCTATCCATTCTGGCCTTTTCCACCACACTGCTCCAGAGAGAATTCTATCCATTCTGGCCTTTTCCACCAAAAAGCGGCTCAGCCACTGTTATGTGTCAACTGGTGGTTAGAGGACATCCAGATTCCATGCAAGGCTGTCATAGAAGCTCTCCAGATGCCTTCAGGGTGATGTTTGAGTGAGATTGCAGATCTATTCATGGTCCTGGTATCCATTTCCTTCTTCTTTCTCTGGAGAAGATAGCTATGAGGGTGACAAAGAGAAAAAAGGCCAATGAAATACAGTAAATATTCATTCATTCATTCATTCATTCATTCATTCATTCATTCATTCATTCATTCATTCATTCATTCATTCATTCATTCATTAGATTTCTATCCCGCTTTTTTAGACAACGTCTACTCCGGGCGGGTTCCATCAAACATTATAAGCTAAAACAGTTAAAAACAATTAAAAACAATAGTAATCAGTAATGGTTAGTAGTGCTCAAGATGGAAAAACAGAAAATTATAGTAAAAATAAAGTCAAGTATTAACAGGAGGGAAGGCCAGCTGAAAGAGCCAGGTTTTTAATTGGTTCTTTAAAACATATAATATAATCATGGCTGTGACAGAAATCAGTCTTGCTATATTTTTTCTAACTGTAATTATTACGATTGTTACAGATGCAGGCACCTGTTCAGCAGAGGATGAAAAGCCAGTTTTTGAAGCAGGTATGTGCAACGGGGATAAACCAAACACTATGTGTGCGAATAAAATCCCAAAACCCCATTCCTCTGAGCAAGCAGCTTTCGGGGGTGATCAGATGAACATGTAGCTCACTTTATGGTTTGCTTTTGGTGTGCTTTGGTTCACCCTATTTTTCAGTGACCTTATGTGTTTATATGTGCCCCCTTTGCAAACTGTTCTACTCCTTTCTGGCATAGTATTAGGGCTGCTATTTTTAAAGTGTGATTGGGAGCGCTCCTGATTCTCCTGTTCTGCAATTTGTGTGGTTGCGTAGTTTACACCTCAAAAGAGTTGTGAATGGTGTTCTCTTCAGTGACAATATGTAGTGGTTTGTGAAAGTAAAAAGGATGCCAGAGAAAGCCTCTCTTCTATTTTCCTCTTCTCACAATTTTTTTAAAAAAACTATTCTCCTAAGTGACACAGCGCTATTTCAGATAGAAGGGAGTATCCATGTTGGGTTATTGTACTGCTTTAGTGCTAAAAAATTAAATCATCTTCAGTGTGGATACAAAGCAATAATTTTTATAAAACAATTTAAACAACAATTTCAATTTAAAATTTGACTTTTATTTTTTTAAAATCCAATTGTTTACATTTAAATTGTGATTTAAATTGATTAAAAATCCAATTGTTTAAATTTAAATTGTGATTTAAATTGATTTAATTTAACTCAAATCCACCCTGATCACCATAGAACTTTAGAGCGGGAAGGGATTCTATGGATCATTGAGTCCAGAACTCAAATCCACCCTAATCACCACAGAACTTTAGAGCGGGAAGAGATTCTATGGATCATTGAGTCCAGCCATGGGAAACACCCTTTACTAAATTCAACATTAAAAAATGGAAGTTGTTGTGGCCCATGGAAGGGGCCACAAAAAGTGGGGGAGGGGAGGAGAAATTGGAGCAATCTGAAATGCTGTCCGGATCCTTCTCACAGGAGAAGAAACATCTCCTGTGTGGATAGATAGGGGCGTAAAAGCCAAGAAATTATCCTTTCCACCACCTTTAGTGAACCTTAAGCTTTGTTATCAGAGCTATGTATGAAAGCAGGAACAGGCATAAATCACATTTAAAGGGGAGACTATGAACCATGTTACATTCATACCACAAGATTTGAATAATGTTTCCAAATTTTTAAAAAAATCAAATTTGCATAAGGGCAAATAGGATGGGTCTCCTGTGGGTGGGTTTTTGTGATTGTTTCATTGTGTATCATGGGAAACTTCAGGTGGCAAAAACTTTTGGGTTGGAGGCTTTCCACAAACAAACAAAACGAAAAACAGAGTTTCCACTATTTATTCATGGTTTTTGAAAGAGTTGTTATGAAGAACAGCCGATTTCTGGAGTAGATTTGTAGAGGGGTGAGCCATCACCATAAAGCTCACATCCAAAGCTTTCAATGATATGAAAAAATTACTTTTAACAAAAGCACAGAACATTATTTGTGAAGCTTCTACTTCAAGCTTTTTGAAGTATTTTTGAACCACTCAAAGAGAGCAATTTCACAAACAGAAAAGAAGTTGAGTTTTAGGAATGCGCTGAGACAGAAACCTCAGAAGACTGGTGTTCATAGAGCACCGAGCAGCAAAATGTAAGGGAGGAATAGATGGTCAGGATAAGGCCTTACTTTAAAATAATAACACTCTATGGTGCCTGAGCATCTCTGGATGAAAGGACTAATTGTTGCCAAAAATGCAAATTTGAGAAGTTGAGGTATCACCAGACAAGTAAGGTCCACCATTGTCCATGTGGCCTCTAACCACAATAAAAACTATTGATTGTGTAGGAGTTTTCTTCTACTGTGAGACTTATCTCTCTCTCCCTCTTTCTTCCCCTTTAAATTAGATGAGAGGTCAAATCTCCTGTCCCTCTCTGTCTTGGGCCTGAGAATCATCTTCATCAAGACGATTGCCTTCAATGTGCTGTTCACCTTCCGCGTGTATTCACGAAGAGGTAAGCATGGAATTCTTGGGCTTGGGGACATACTATTAGTTTGATGTCATGCAGTTATTATTATTATAAAGGGATGGTTATGTTTTCAAATTTCATGCACTTTTGTGGCTAAAAGAAAAGGGGAAAAATATATGGCAATTTTAAACTCTGACAAACTTTGAAGCTTTAGACTTGGATAGCCAACTTCGAGCAGTGGCCAGAAAACAAATCTAACTGCTAAAGCTGGGGAACTAGCTATGCCTATTTGGGGAGATTTTCTGATCTGACTGCTATGATACCTGCCTTAGTTATATATCCCATATAGATTACTTCAATGGCCTCTACATGGGGCTCCCCTTGAAGAGTGTTCAGAAATTCCAGCTGACTCAAGATGCTGGAGCCATCCCATTGATCAGATCCAGTTATAAACAACATGTCATTTCCTTGTTACTACCGGTCTGTTTCTGAGCCTTGTTGGAAGTGCTGGCTATGACCTATAAAGCTTGGATCCAGGTTGTATGAAGCAGCTTGGCTTTTAAAATCTTCAGCAGAGATCCTTGTTCCTGCTGCTTTCGCTTGCTATATGCTTAATTTTTCCTTGATTTTTATTAATCCTAACCAGAGCCGAGGGGAAAAAGCTGAGAAATAAAACAAAACAAATGAAATAATGTTAATGATGGCTAGCATTAAAAATAAAATAAAACTCAAGACCTATGATTTTGGAAGGTTAACCTCATTTAAAATGCTCTTACCACCCACCCCATGTACCCAAATGTTAAGTATGTTTTTTGGGGGGAAAATATGACCAGTTAGTTTCCTGATGAAAAATGATGGAGATATGAAAACACAGAATTTCCACATTTTGATCCAAAAGCTTTCCAAATTGATGCCACCCAAGAGAAAAAGATAACACCCCAACACATAAAGTAAAGGATCCTGGGAAGGTTATTAAAACCAATTTCAAATGCACTGCAATATTGTCATATTGGTTCTTCCCTTTCCATTGGACTATTTCAGCGATGTGGAAAGGGGGGGGGATTTGCTGCTTGGGTAACAGCCTATCCTCCATATTATTTTACCCAGGCTTTGTGCCCTGGAGAGGACACTCCAGCTTCGCATACAGCGTCGAAGCAAAATCAGGGAACTGGACAGGGGACAGATGGGATTTGTCTTCAGTGTGGAAGGGACGGTCACTCTCGAATTGGCCTTCTCAGCCACACTAGATGCTGTTCCACGTCCTCCATACAGAGCACGTTACCCTAGTCTCTCGAGACTGAAGGAGGATGCCTACAATCATTGTCATATCTCTAGGTATTGCATGTTTCTACAATGGTCTAGGCCTTTGTGCAAAAATGTTACTGATTTCCCCAGCCAGATAATCAATCATTTCTCATTCTGTTCTTTCCAGGTCGGAAATGAAAAACAAAAGGAGGAACATGGTGGGGATGGTGTAGAAGAAATTTCCGAATAGGCATTTACCCCACCTTCTTGAAATTTGGGTGCAAACGTAGAGAAAGACATTGGCATCACGCTGGAGAGAACCATATGCATTCCTTCTCTTTTTTCTTTTTCCAGCTAGATACGGCTGTTTTTTATTGGGACAACGTCTGCATTTCTGCTTCTTTGCACAAGAATATTCAGAGGGGTGGGGGAAGCTGGCAAGCTAACTTGATGATGGTAAGCCGCCTTGGGCCCTTCTAAGGAGAAAGGCGGGGTCACGAGATTTTAAATAAATACAACAATAAATTTCCTGCTTTGTTTTATTCTACTCTGCCACACTTTCAATATAATCTACTGTATAAAATAGTATGCTTTATATTTTACCAAATATTAAAAAAAGATGTTTATATTTGAATCTGTCTGCATGCTCCATCATTATTCTTCTTAAGGTAAAGGTAAAGGTTCCCCTTGACAATTTTTTGTCCAGTCGTGTTCGACTCTAGGGGGCGGTACTCATCCCCGTTTCCAAGCCATAGAGCCAGCGTTTTTGTCCGAAGACAATCTTCCGTGGTCACATGGCCGGTGCGACTTAGACCCGGAACGCCGTTACCTTCCCACCGAGGTGGTCCCTATTGATCTACTTGCATGTGCCTCCTTTCGAACCGCTAGGTTGGCGGGAGCTGGGACAAAGCAACGGGAGCTCACTCCGTCGCGTGGATTCGATCTTACGACTGCTTGGTCTTCTGACCCTGCAAGCACAGGCTTCTGCGGTTTAGCCCGCAGCACCACCACGTTATCCTGCTCTTAATATCATAGAATAATGGAGTTAGGTCTACAACGCCATCAAGTCCAACCCGCTGCTCAGTGCAGGAACCCAAATTAAAGCAGATCTGACAAATAGTTGTCCATTATTCTCTTGAACGCTTCCAGCGATGGAGTTCTCGCCACCTCCCTAGGTCATGGGTTTGATTGTCATACTGCTCTAACAGTTAGGAAGTTTTTCATGAAATTCAGCCTAAATCTGGCTTCCTGTAACTTCAGCCCATTGTCATGTGTATCACACTCTGGGGCAATTGGGAACAGATCCTGCCCCTCCTCTGTATGACAGCCTTTCAAATACTCGAAAAGTGCTATCTTATCTCTCCTCAAGTCATCTTCCCTCAAGGCTAAACCTGCCTAGTTCTTTCAGTCTTTCCTCACAGGGCTTGGTTTCCAGTCCCCTGATCCCCCTTGTTGCCCTCTTCAAGGAGGACCTAGGCTACAGATTCGGAGAACACACAGCCCTCCAGAGATTGTTAGGTGACAATCCCCATCAATTCTTCCCAGTAGGACGACGGGAGATGTAGTAAACCACATTTGGAGGGCCACACGGTCCCCATCTCTGCCACAGATTCAAGGGAGCATTGACTGCTGTCAAATTAGCCCTCACCACCAAATGTTCTCCAGATGTGCTGCATTACAGTTCCCATCTTTCCCTGCCAACAGGTTGAAACAGAACGAGGTGCGTATTTTTCCTATAGGTCAGCAGTATCTGTGTTTCAGCTCAGTTCTGTACACATCAGAAGTTAGCCCACAACAATTGTGTATATGATTGCATGGGAAAAAATATATCTATGTAGAAAATCAACATTTTATTCATAGAATTACAATTCAATGACCTTTTTGTTTGTCCATGTGTGATCTGCCCTCAAGTCACATCCAACTTCTCACAATCCCAATAGGGTTCTCAAAGTATGTGAAATATTAAAGGAGTGGCTTTACCTTGACTGCCATCTCTCATGAGCATTCATGGGTGAGCAGGGATTTGAATTCAGGTCATCTGATTTCTAGTCAATCACTTTATCCACTACACATCACACTGGCTCTCAGCCCCATTGACTCCATAGGGTTTATGTAGGTGCTGAAACCTTTCAGCAATGGCTTCAAAGGGCTGTCTATCTACTTCAGTCTAGCGATAGGGTAGTGAATCAGAATTTCAGCCTTAACCAGAGAGAAAGCTTAGATGCCAACGTATCATGATACTTAAACATATTTTCAAGCTTATTTGGAATACACACTTCACAGATCCAGAAGGTAAACAGGACAGCTTCCCAAGACTTGGAAGGCTTGTTATGAGGACCAGGCTAAAGACTTACTCTCTGTTGCCCCAATGCACAGGACTAGGGGCGATAGGCTTACATTCACAAGAGGGCAGATTTTCCTGGGATGTTAGAATATAGTGCAATATCCAACGAGGCCAATTCTCCAGAGGTGTGGGAGTTCAGTAGTGGACTTCTGGCAGAACCTGTGCGGCCATCTAGATCTTCAAGCCCTAGGTTGTGTTGATGGAGTAGATACCCTCCATGATTCCCTCCAAATTTACTTTGATTTTCCAAGTTAGCTAGTGACTATCACAGCTATGCAATGCAAACTGGAAATGGTGCAAAGCTTTGCTAGTTACCAGAAAAAACAACAACAGGATGACAGGAGGCTCCACACCCCCTGATGACCCCACCCAGCGGTCTCATATAGATGTTAAACAGCATTGGGGAGATAATCGGCCATCTCTTGAACATCTCAAAAATATCCATACCAATAGATTTACATCCTACTTAGCCACTTGTTTCCTGTAAGTGGGAGAAAACCATATCTATTTACAGAGCAAAGAAGCCAGGACTCCCTCATTTTCAACACAGGGAATGGCAGAAGCGTAGCATGGCAGTATTGGAGGAGATAGGAAGGCAGAGAGATGAGCCTGTCTGAATATCATCCTACCAAACACATGAAGGTGGAAAAATCATCCTCAGTCAACAGCGGCTACCTTGGCTGGCATTTAGGGCTGATCTAAGACATGTTGGTGTTTAAGACGGAAGACATCCTAGCCGGATTGTTCTATAGGGAAGCAGAAACAAAAGAAACCAGCCAAACATGAAAAACACACAGATGAAAGCCTTAAGATACGGAGAGATGGGATCTGATTGCTTAAAGGGTCAGATGCATTTTGAATAATAAAAAGGGGTTTTGTTTAACGGAAAAGCCCTGTACATGTCAAGTATTGGTTCTGTGGCCTTCTACAGGTACAATAAATTAGCAATGACTTTGTAGACCTTGGGATAATTTCATATGCCACCTAATGGGGCTTCAAAACAAATACAGTTGTGGCCCGCTTAATGATTACCCTGTATAATGACGAATCCACTTCACGATGATGTTTTAATGGTTTTTTTTCACTTTGCGATGATCGGTTCCCTGCTTCGGGAACCAATTCTTCGCATTACGACGCTCAAAACAGCTGATTGTTGGGTTTTCAAAATGGCCGCCAGCTGCTCAAAATGGCTCCCTGCTGTTTTTAGGAGGCATTTTTCACAAGACGGGCACCCGAAAATGGCTGCCATATGGAGGATCTTTGCTGGATGATTAGGTATTTCGCCTATTGGAACGCATTAACCAGTTTTTAATGCATTTCAATGTTTTCTTTAATTTCGTTTGACGACGTTTTCGCTCTACAGCGATTTCGCTGGAACGAATTAACATCGTCAAGCGAGGCACCACTGTAATCAGAGATCTCAGCAGGCACTATGGATTTGTTACTTTTGCAGAAGGCTACAAAATACTCAATTGACTAAAATGCATTGGACTTTTTTGATGAATAAAAGCAATTTTTCTACATTTTTTAAAAACATCTTGTGCTCTCCCCCTTCTGTGGCTAATGGATCGGCCACCTCACTCTTCCTTCTGACACAAGGGTTCTTGGAGTTGATGGTATATACACGTCCATTCAGAAGAAAGTCTCAAACTGCTGAGCAACTTTTGTTAGGACTGGGGTGCGGGATTAAAAATAGCGTCTGCAAAGCCTAGATGCGGGCTGGGGCGGATGGAGAAAGAGGCAGACAGCAAAGGTTTTGAAGTTGCACCGTACCCGATTAAAAACAAAGACTTGACACACTCTCCGAAAAAGTTAACACAGAAGGATTATTTTTAAACCTTCTGCAGAACAGGTGTTTTCCATCCTGCTATTTACATCAATTTTTTTTTTAAAAAAATCTCATCTCACCCCCCTCCCCACAATTTGAACTAGACAAGGCAGGAAAAAACAAGCTGGGCAGGAAGTAGAAAATATGTCAACCCTAACTGGGTCAAAACCAACCTACCCCTCTGCCTTCCATTACGTCACAGGCGCAGAAACCTATTTGGGTCAGCGTTTGAAGCTCATCCCGCAGAAACCGCTTCCTCTCGAAAGCAGGGTTGTTTTTCAAGTTGACGGGGAGTTTCAAAGCCGTGGCACGTGCCAGGGCTTCCGTGGACCAAGGGGAGGTAGAGAGAACGTTAGCCCACAAGGCAGGGCTGGGGGGGTGCTACTTGGAGTAAGGGTGGAGACTGCACAGCTGCAAGCAGGTGAGACCCGGAAGGGTGGAAAAGTAGCTATGTATATCACCCCGAAAAGGTTTGCAAAAGCTAAGAATAACTTTGTGGCAGCCTCTGTTGTGGGTATGGCGGACAGGGAAACAAGGGCAAACCGAGGTCTTCTGCACTTGCCGTGAATGAGTCTGATCTACCCCAATTCCATTAGAATATTTTTTAAAATCCGTATCGGAATTGCATGAATTGTATGCACTCCTTTGCCAGGTATCCAAAGATATACAGTGGTGCCTCGCTAGACAGTTACCCCGCATGACAGTTTTTTCGCTAGACATTGACTTTTTGCGATCGCTATAGCGATTCGCAAAACAGTGATTCCTATGGGGGAATTTCCCTGGACAATGTTTGGTCCCTGCTTCGCAAACCAATTTTCGCCAGACAACGATTTTGACAGGTCCCTCCGCGCTCGCAAAATGGGTGTTTTCGGGACCTAAGCTTCGCAAGACAGCTATTTAAACAGCTGATTGGCGGTTCGCAAAGCGGCTTTCCTATGGCCGATCTTTGCTAGACAATGACGATTCTTCCCCATTGGAACGCATTAAACAGGTTTCAATGCATTCCAATAGGGAAATGCTTTTCGCTAGACAATGATTTCGCTAAACTGTGATTTCAGTGGAACAGATGATCATTGTCTAGCGAGGCACCACTGTATGCATTCCAAACAAAGCCGGCTCTACTCTTAGGCAGAGTGGGAAAAACTGTCTCAGGTAGCAGATGTTGAAGGACAGCAGTGTTGAGTCCTTCAGCTCTTTCTCCTGAGCCCCAGGTCGCGCCCATTCCTTGGGAGGACCCAAAAAAGTGGTCATGTTACTGGCTCTATTTCCTTTAACATGCCACAAGCAGCGTGACGGATGCTATTCTACTCTTGTGTTCCAGTGGGAATTCCCGTCAGCTTACATACATGGAGCAGAGGAAGTAGATTAACTTCATCCCTTTCTTTAGGAAGCAAACATCTGTAGAGCTAGAAGGGACCCCAGGGGTCATACACAGGTTTCTCCTTTCAGAAGCAGGACGTCCACCAGCAAAACAACTCTTAATAGGTGACCATTCATCAGCTGCTTAAAATCCTTCAACAGAGGACAACCCACTAGTTTCCTGGACAATCTTTTCTACTATGAAATAACTTTTATAGTTAAGAAGTTCTCCATAGTAGTAAGGCCCATATCATATTGCCTCTGTATATATATAGATTCCATTTAGCTCCCAGCATCCTAAGAGCTGCTGCTAGGCTTAGCATCCACTGGTTTGTTCAGTCCCCTCTTAAAACCATCTAGACCGGTAATCACAACCATGTCTGTGCAATTTATTCATCCCTTTTGTGTGATTATGAGCATAAACTTCAATTATTATTTGATTTATTTATTTTTTAAATCTTTTTCCATCTTGATTAACTCTACTCCTGATGTTTAAAAGTTGTAGTAGTCAATGGACTAGATGGACGGGGTATAAATGCAATAAATAAATAAATAAAACCCCAACTCTGCTTGCCTTCACAGTGATATGCAGGCCCAAAAATCTATCGCTACTGGTGCCAGTGGTGAATTTGGAAGTACAGAGTCTCATCCTGACAAGCCCTACAGCCAGCTAGCCTCCACCTCCCCAAAGAGTCCAAAAATGCAGAGGTTTGGGTTGAACCATCTGAATCTATCAAGTCTTTTGTAAAGCTAATGGCTCCTAATTACCCACTCAAGAGCAAAGGACAATATACTGCTCCTGGGAGAAGCCATTTGTCCCTTAGCTGCTGTTGCGCTCCGGGGGAAACAAGGACACCTGGAGAATTGGTGGCAGATGATGCCTTAGTCTCTGTTGATCAGAAAGTCCTGGGGCTTCAGCTGTGAAAGTCCTCCTTCCACTGCACCCCTGCAGAAATTGCAGGGGATCATAATTTCCCCACTATCAAGCACATCTTCAAAGAAGCAAGCATCTAAGTGTTGGTTTTCAAGACAAAGTCATGGTTCCTACGGTGGCCTGTGGTTTTGTGGAGGAACACAGGTGGGAAGTATGGGGCAGCTAAACTCTGCTGTCCGGGGATACCCGTATGTTGTTTGACTGAAAAGTCCTGACCAGCATAATTGGTGAAGGATAATGGGAGTTATAGGCAAATATACCTCGGTGGTAAAGGCAAATGATTGAGCAACCCAAGACTGGAAAAAGCAAATGGCAAAAAACAACACGCCAGAAGAACACACCATATACCTGAGGTTAGACTGCACCATCCTTAAAATATTCGGGGAACGGCCGAGTACTTGAAGGGAACTCTCGGATGACAACAGATTCCTGGTTGTAGAAACCAACCATGTCAGTGGGAAAGCTGAACCAGAAATTTAAGACATATGCAGTGAAAGTTAATGGGTTAATTCTAAATATGCATCCTTGCATACTCATATTATGGGTAGATTATCTCATGAACACCGCAGGACTGGTCTGCTTTGGATTTAAAATTCATTACAGCCTGAACACAAGTCAATTGCCTCTGGACCTGCTTTTGCAAGAGTACTTGATACAAATTTGAATACTAAAAGTAAGATGAAATCTATGGACAGTAACACAACTTCAAATTGAATGTCGAACATTCTTTTTTGGGACTCTACATACACTTTAAGGGGGAGTCCAGTAAGCTTTATTCTCACAATTCATGTGGTTAAGAAAGAAAAGGGTCTGATTGTGTCATTTACAGGGGGAGACACAAGATGGCAGTAAAATAAAGAGAAAGGCAAGAGTTTTGAGCTGTTAGCAACACAAAAGGGTTTGTGTTTGTGTAC